CATGAAAAAGACACACAATACCCCCACACAATTATTCATTTGTCCATCACGGCAAGCATTCAGAATAGCAGATTGTTCCAATCAACATGCAAAGAACAGAAGAGTTAATATCAACTGGCTGCATGAACAGGTTTTGATAAATAGGAACCTATGGAAAACTTTGCAAGAACACTGTGTGTAATCACACAGTAAGCAATAGGAATTGGTGATTAGGTCCCATTTATCTATTTACTTTTGGACTTCATTGAATGACTACCTGCAGGACTACCCGTGCTACTTCTCTAACCATCCCATGTTGGATTTTTTTGTTTTGTTTTTTAGTTTAAAATATGTGGGCTTCTGCAATGCCTTCCATCATGCCTTCCAAAACTTCCAAATAAAACTGCATGAAGCTTTCAGCTTTCTTGTCTCATAGCTATCAGCATTCCATTTGCTCAATTTTGGCACCTCCAATCTCTGAGCAATGTCATGTGTAAACACTCCCATTCCGCATCCCCTCCAGACTGAGTTTGGAATAGCTCGGACAGTCTCTTTCATGCTTCCCTACCCTGGTACTCCACAAGTGAATTCAACTTACTCCCATCAGCCCAGCCCCCATAGCTAATGTTAGGAATTCTGGAAGGTGTGATCCAGAACGCTGAAAGAGGAATCAAACTGGGAATAGCTGAGCTTCTCAACTTGATGAAATCTATGTAAAGGCAACCCTCTGATCCAGCCAGGTCTCTAAAATAGATCCAATTTTAACAGACAGCCACCTTCAAAGCTGTCCAGAAATATGTTTACTGGTATCATTATGAACTAAAGTGGAGATGGTTTGCCAGTGTAATTAACTAAGTACAGCAGTTGATGTAACATCCTGTTCAACAGCCTTTTGACTATCATGCTTCTTTTGGAAATGTGCCATAAATATTTTCTGGCATTCTAATGCATCAGGAACTCTTGGTGTCTTGTCCTATTCATTACGGGAGGCCTTGTGCAAACAGATGTTCCTAACAAATTAAGTGCTATGTCTTCTATCACCAGTGATCTTTCATTTATCACATAGCTGCATTTCCCAATGGTCAAAGCTCTCTGAGCACCTCTCATGATAAAATCCAATACCAAACTTCAACACTCAGATATCTCAAAAGGTTTAACATCACCTGACCAGAACCAGGTCAAAATTAAGACACTCTGTTATACACTGCCAAACATGTAGAGCACAGAAAAGTCTGCGATGACGACACTCATGCCAGATGGACCTCACTGTGGAGAATGTTCCTCACTTGGGTGGAGGGCTACCAAAAGGTCACTTTCTTCCTTTCTACTCTCGCAACTTTCCTTGGGCAAGGTCCTCTGAGGAGAGGGTGTGTTGGATGCTGATCGTATCTACACACACAAACACACTTCCAGATGGAGAGAGGCATGGCATTGTGGTCCTGAGCCATTTTGGCTTAATAAGTCTGGACACCTTGAACTGGGCCATGAAACAAACAGGAAACCAGAGCGCGCTTAGAACTTCTGGTCTCATTCTCAATCTGGCTGTAGCATTCTGGAGAGTCTTCAAGCAATTGAGCTGACCTGAGAGCAGACTACTGAAGCCACTGATGGGGCATAGCCGGGCCACCAGCTGAGCCCAGGAGAAGCACCCATGCCACGGAGCCTTCCCACGCATGAAGGGCAGCAACGATTCCAGGTGAACCCACAAGCCTGTTGTTCCAAGGAGCTGCAACCATTCCAAACAAGATTCCAAAGAGCCTTCCATCCCTCCAGATCTGGCTCCCTGAAAGGCACAGACTTCTGTGGTGACCCTGCTGGGGAGTGGACTCACCACCGCAGTAGCCTCAGCTCCAGACAGCTCATGCAACCTCTTCTAAGGCTGGCAGAAGAAGGGGAAAGTGCTGCATTTAGGGGCCTGGTTCTCCAGGAGTTTCTCTGGAGCTGGCTGGAGGCAAGATGCCTACCTGGTCTCTACCTGGCAAGCTGGTCATGGTGTCTACTTCTCCAAGTGGGGGCTGATGGTGTCATCAGGGCAACCAGCGCATCCTGGCTGTGGGACTGGGTTAGGCTAGGCAGCAGCTATGCATCTGTGGCTCTTGGTCAAAGTACTCAGCCTAGACATGAGAATCCAGGCTTGAACCTTCATTCAGCTATAAACTTGTTTGGTGGCTTATTTCTCATCTTAGCTGACCTCACAGGGTTCTTCTAAAGTGAAGGTCCTGCTCCAGTTTCTTCAAAGGACAGCAGAACACAACAAATAAAATTGGAGAAACAAGACCTTTAAAACCGGCTTCAAATTCCAGGGTAAGAGAAGTCAGAAATGGCAACATTGACTCTGACAAACAGTTCTTTAAAAACTTTCCTTGAAATGGGAATAGTTGTTTCATCTATTGGAAGTTTGTCCCACAGTGGAGCAATACTTCATACAGAGCATTTTAGAAATCTTACTCTGTGTTTTCTATATGTTGGAGCTATGTTGGAAAAGATTCTTTAGAGAAAGAAACATCTAATATTGAATCTCTATACAGATCAATGTCCAATTATAAGTAGAGTCATTATGGCTAGAGAGAAAGGGGGGTCACTTTTTCTGCAATTATTTCTTGGAAAAAGGGTAATGAATGAGGCTTTCCCTCAAATGTATACCAAATAAATTGCAAAGGCATTTTCTAAACATTCTGCACAACAAACAAACACACATGCACAGACACACAATGCTTTCTTGACATGATCAAGAAAATGAAGCTAAGCATGTCTTTCCCGATGAATGTGGTACAATTTGGACTGGGCTGGAGGCAAAAATCTAGTTCTAATTAATCACCAATTAATAGAAAGCTTAGAATGTATTTCTGCTTAATTATAAATATAGCTTCTCATTAGGAAAGACTTAATCAATTTTTAAAACATCCTCAGTGCTGTGAATCATTTTCCACACAACAAGATGAAGTGACTAACGGAGATTGGAAACTGAATTCAAAATAATTTGGCGCTGTTCCTCCTCACTGCCTGGAAGACTACAAGCAGAATGCACAACTCTCTCTCTCTCTACACACACACACACACACACACACACACACACACACACAGAGCACTGATGTACTCACTTTAGGCTGAAAGGAAATGGTGGGTTTCTTTTGAAATAAACAGCACTTCCAATAAGCAAATCACTCACAAGCCAAATCAGACACAGACTTGGGTGGAATGGAGATGCTTATTCTCCTAAAATATAAGCCAGGGACTCTTTTGCTCTAAGTAGTGTCACAGGCTCCTATAGGTAAACCTTTTGTAGGATGTGAATGGAGGACTTTGATCATGGGTGTCATCAACCCAGGATGGCATTAGCTACACTACCTCTAAGTATTTCAGCGAGGCAGCTGCTTTCCAGCTGTGTTTCCAACTTGGGAAGGTTGGGCAGCTTCTCAGAAGGTTCTCGGCACTTGTTTGCCCTGAAAGATGGGTTGCCCATTGGCGGAATCTTCTGCTGTGATGTGCAATTATGGGGCGCATTGCACCGTATGTGCCTAAGCCCCACAGGCAACTGTGAGAGCACCCCTTGTAAGTGAGCCCTGGGATGCCGTCCAGAATCCTTGGCGCAGGGCTGATGCTCGGGGCTCCTCAGCAGACAATTCAATGGAGAAAGTATTCTGTGAAGGCGCAGAATTTTAGAACTACTGAAGTGGGACGCAGAGTGGGCATCCATTGCAATGTGCTGAAGAGACTGGAAGCTGCAGGACCTTGAGAACTGGATCCTTTGTCATCATTTGACCATTCAGGAGCCTGATCTTAATTGCAATTACTCGAAACCACTGGAGAGTTTCCAACAACATCCATCTGCTGGCGATGTGCCACTGAATCCTTTCCCTGCACAAGTGGTTTCCCATTATGCTTGGGCAACTATCTGCATCACACTTTGCACGTGAGCTATGTTCGATCCTTTGCACAACAAATTGCACAGACATAATATGCAATCTGTTGCATCACTGTGCCTGTGGGAAGGTAACTTTAGCCAGACCCTTGCCCTGCACATGGACTGGAACCTCATTTCCACAAGGGCAACATCATTTGCTCAAGTGGAACAGCATAGGTGGCAACCATGCCTGGAGTTGCAACATATGCTTATATCTGAGAATGAAACCAATCTAGGGAACAAAAATGATGGCCGGAACTTTTACTGGGATCCCTTTTGACTTCAAGGGCTATTCCGGCCAACTTGGCAACACAGAGACAAAAAAAACAGACAGACAACTCCCCCCCCCGCACCGAAACACATAATCACACCGTGCCCACTATTTTCCCATGCCACAAATGAAAGCTCTGTCCTATAATAAATGCATGGCTCCGTCGTTTCAGCGGAGCATTCAGCCAAGCAGCTTGCCACCTATCCACCTGGGAAGGTCACTTGCAATGAACCAAAGCATTATTCTGGCCATGGGAATCCAGCTCGACTCTTCCAGGCACACCAGGGCAAAATGGCATTAGGGTTCACACTTCTAGAACTCCCCAAGAAAAATAAACATTCAAGTTAGAATCCAAAAGGCTGCTTTACGCTTAGCCACAGGCACGGGAAAACCCACCTGGAGTGTGTGTATGTGCGTGTGTTTCCTTTTTAGTTTAAGAGCATAGCACACAATGTCTTTCTCAAAGTCCCAGTGGCCCCTTGGGAATTAGTCACAGGGTTCTTTAGATACAAGCCATAGTCTCATGGTAAAAATAGAGATGCTACAATTATGCTACAGTACATCTTTGCTGGAACAGCCTGGTAAATGGTGTGCTCCATTTTGTGCTTCTAATTAATACATACGTGGGTATATAAACCACACAGACACATGCAAATGGTTCTGTGTGCATGTACACACGTGTGTGTGTCTATTCCACACACACACCCCTACAAAGGACAACAGGAAGATTTAGCATTTCTGCTGGCCGCGTTATCAGCGGGCTTGTCTCGTGTGATAAACTGCCGGGGCAGCAGTAATGGGGCTCTAATCAAGGCAGGCTTTGCTAGCGGGAGCCGCATCACTCACCTTGTTCGAGTGGCTGGCTTTTAGTTGAAGTCGTTTTCATCTTGAGTGCCTCCCTAACCGACATGTCGCAACAAGAGCCTTTGTTAGTATCTTGGTCACTGTCTGCTTGGTCGCTGTCTCCATGCCCACTGTCCCTCAAGCTCGCTCGCTCAGGGTCCTTGAACGTGGAACTACTGATCGGTGTGCCCAGGAAGAGAGAGAGAGCAAAAGAAAGAGAGAGAGAGTATGTTAAACTCGCATTTACCTTCCCCAATTTGAATTGAGCTCTCTGGCAAAGCAATTTTGACAAGAATGCAAATGGGGAAGCAGAGAAAGTTATTTAATAGGCCTTACCTTTGAACAAACTGCTGCCTCGTGCCCATGTAATTGGGCTCTGCGGGAAAATTGTCTGTCTGTGAAAGAGAAGGAAAAAAAATACATCTAGTTGTACACTGGACAAATCTCCTGCAGAGCAACAAGATTTCCTAGAGGAGAAATGATTAATAATTCAAAAAATATTTTCCCCTTAATCTTCAGATTTGTACATTTTAATTAAATTGGAAACTGCTGGTATATAATTATGTACTCAGAACAATTAAGTGATCCTGGTCCACAAATTACCTGCTAAAACAAACAAGGGTGATTTACATAAATGACATGGAAATATGCTTTGCAATTAGGTAGACATATAAAGCTCATATAAGCTTAGGCAAGGTCAAAAGACCGCGCTGTATCCACATGAGCTTCTCATCCAATATCACCTGTAACACGCGTAGCTTTCACAGGAGTTCTTGAGGCAAACAGTTCGCCACTGCCAATAGACTGTTTATTTCATTTACAAACTTAGAAAAATTGAGAGAACTATGAAGGAAGGCTTCTCGGCTAGCTAGTTTTCACCCAGGTGCAGCAGGTTACCAGGCGTGCATATTTCTCCTGTGGTGAAATATTCAGGCATCCAGTTCCCCAAATCTTATTCCTGACTGTTTGGCTCTTCAATGCCTTCTATATTTTTAACACTGTTTAATGGTTTTACTTTCTAGCATCGTGTTTCTGTTTTAGTTGCTGTTTGCTTTTATGATTGTCAGCTTCCCTGATGGCATTTCACAGCTGTGCAGTACATGCATCAAAACAAGCAAATCGATTGGTCAATACCTGCACACAAATATTGAACAAGTGGTGTGGATCACCCGCCACATGCTAGTGTGGCCCAGTGTGTAATCTGAACTGGGGTAAATCAGGCGCTGGGAGAGACATGGACGTGGTCTGCTGCCTCAGCCAGGCGTTTGTTTTCAGGACTCTATGTTGGCATTTAAGCTATATCTGCTCTCCTTAAATTGGTACATCTGCCTTTTCTATCAGTTTAAGGTGAGGGGTGGACAATATATTTTTGTTCTGGGGGCAAGAGAAACATGCCTGTGATTAATGTTGCCAAAGGTGTTGGAAACAGATGTGGCCCCGATCCCAATTTTGTATCCCAGCCAGTTCCCTCACCTTCCGCAACAAGAAGGACACCAGCTACATGGCTCGAGAGGCTGACGACAGGCCTCCTGCTTCAGCAGAAGAGTTTTCAAGAATTCTGCCCAATGCCCAAGCTGAAAAGTGGCAACCTGGGAATTCTCTGTTGTTGCAAATTTGGGTATGTAGCACCCTTACTACATGAATAAGTTCTATTTTGTTGCTAACATTATATAATTATAATCAATATAAATATAATTATAGTCAATTATTATTGTTATCACGCCAGTTCTAATTTGTGTCCTTATGCCTGCCACTGTGGACCAACAAGTGGGATATAGATGCATGGAGAACAGGAGTCCATTGGGCAGATGGCAGCACTCATTGTTTCCAACAGCTTGGGCTGTGCGGCAGAAGACAGAAGATCTCGAGGAAAATAATACAGAATAGCCTGGCCTTTGCCCAGCATGACCTCAGCCTCTCTTGGTACTCTGGTGCCCCCAGAGACACACTGCAAGTCACTTGTCTTGTCTGTGCTGTCACAGTCTGCATCTCAGACACAGCCACCCCTGTTCCAACTGCCCATCCTCTCTGTAACCACCAACTTCGCAGCATCTCTGCCCCATCTCCATCCTCCATGGCTGCTGACAGTCCCTCCTTGCATCTTCTTCACTTTTCCCTGACCGCCTCTATCCTGCACTTGGCCTCCTCCCATGGCACGCGGCTGCTTCACTCGCCACGAGCACAGAGGAGAGCTGGTGCTGGAGATGGCGTGTGCCGCAGAACAATTTCCAAGCCAGTGCCTCACCCCAGGAATCCCAAGGAAGGTGAGCTATCAGGGCAAGCTGCAAGCTGCATTACACACAAGTAAAAGTCATGAAATAGACGTTTTTCTAAAATACTAAAAAGCGTTTCAAAAACATGACTAAAAGGAGCAAGTAAAAAGCAGTCAAAGAACTATACAGTTCCAAAGGATAGTCAACAGTATACGGAACATGATGGTCGCGATTTGTCCTCGTATCTCAACCTCCATGGTTTTTAGCAGTCGGGGAATTCCCCTCTTCATGTAGTCTGCACTACGTAAGGAAGCAGTACTCTGGGGCAATGGAAGGCTGTGAAAGAGCCACGGATCCCAATCCTAGCTGTGGATCCCTCCAGCCGGCTGTTGCTGACACCACAGACTTCACAGGGGTTGTCCCGGGGTTGAACCAGACACCCTGTGAAAGAATCCACATGGCTAGTACCTTGCAGGCTGGTGTGTCTCGAGTTCCACCCAGTCGTCTTGCCTAGCTCTGCTTTTTAAGATTCTTTCTGAAATAGATTCCAGGGTAGCTTTCCCTAGCTCACTTTCACACTCAACATGCTTAAAGAATCTTGCAATACGTCCAGCTAGGAATGCGAGAACTGTGAGCATGGGAAGGTGCTTGAAGGGTTAAACATGCATCTGTGCAAATAATTTTTATTTAAGCTATTCAGGATAAACAGAGGAGCTTCTTAAACTTTAAAATAACCATGTTTATCCCAAGACTATATTTCTCAGGCTAACCGTCCTTTGACATAGACTTTGGGGCTTGAAAACAGGATCAGAAGGGAGCAAGTAGGACTTGCAGTGAGACTTGACAACCCACACTCAACCCATGGATGAGCCATAACCAGCCCATGAAAAGAACACAGCGTTGTTGTAGGCTGTGAAAGGTGGGTTGCTCTCCAAGGTTTGCTGGGAGAGGTCATCAGGAGGTGTGGGCTGCGGAATCATCAATACGCTGATGATACCCAGCTCTACCTCTCGTTTTCCACTAATCCAGGTGAGGCAGTGGCTGTGCTGAACCGGTGCTTGGCCGAGGTAAGGGAATGGATGAGGGGAAATAAACTGAAACTCAACCCAGACAAGACGGAGGTCCTGTTGGTTGGCGGATCGGGTTTCGGAGAGGGTGGATTTGACCTGGTCCTGAATGGTGCAACACTCCCTCTTAGGGATAAGGTCCGCAGCTTAGGAGTACTCCTCGACCCGGAGCTTTCTTTGGAAGCTCAGGTGACAGCGGTGGCGAGGAACGCCTTCCTTCAGCTTCGGCTGATTAATCAGCTGCGCCCCTACCTGGAGTACGACTGCCTGGCGACGGTGACACACGCGCTGGTGACTTCCCGCCTAGACTTCTGTAACGCGCTTTACGTGGGGCGTCCCCTGAAGACAGTCCGAACACTTCAATTGGTGCAAAATAGAGCTGCCAGGTTGCTGACGGGGACGGGGCGTTATGCTCACATGACTCCAGTCCTCTGTCAGCTTCACTGGCTTCCCATTGAAGCCCGGGCCCAATTCAAGGTGTTGATTATGACCTATAAAGCCCTAAACGGCTTGGGTCCTGGCTACCTGAACGAGCGCTTACGTCCGTATATGCTCGACTGCCCTTTGAGATCTGCGGGAGAGTCCCTTCTCCGGGAACCCTCCATGAAAGAAATTAGGAGAGTAAGTACTCGGAGGAGGGCTTTCTCTGCGGTGGCACCCAACCTTTGGAATTCACTCCCCAAAGAGGTCCGCCTGGCACCGTCGTTACTGGTTTTTCGGCGCCAGGTAAAGACCTTTTTATTTAAACATCATTTTAATTGTTAAAACATATGATCTGGCCAGGGCAACTTCTTCTTCCTTCTCTTTCTCCTCCTATATTTTTATTTACTTAATTTATACTGATAATTTTAATCTTATATTTGTAAATCAATGTATTTTTTTGTATTTTTGTATTTAATGGTAATTTATTATGTGCTATTGTATTTCAATGTATTTTATCGTGTTGTAAGCTGCCCCGAGGTTTCAGCAAGGGGCGGCATAGAAATGTTATAATCATCATCATCATCATCATCATCATCATCATCATCTCTGCTGGACTGCGGCAGCATGAGAAGGAACATTTCGGGAACATCTCATGGATCAACCACAGTTGAAGTATTGCTGCTCAGAGGTGCAGCTGGCCAGCAACTTCAGGTTGCTGAATTCTGGTGTCCCTTCCCCTCCTCAGTTTGCAGCCTGACTCCACCCCAAAACACGCTTGGAGCTTTGCTGCCAATGAGTGTTTTCTCACTGGCTTTTCTCTAACCATGGTCTGCAAATTGGAGCAGGCCAACACCTCCTCTTCTCAGCCAGTGTTTCTCTTCTGACGACCATCATTTCAGCAATCATCAGCTGATTGTGGTGAGAAGGTATTGGTTATGAGGAAGCAGCTGATTTAACATTTATTTATTTGGCATCCCAGCTGGAAAGGTGACAATTCCAAATGCCAAAGCAACTGCAGACCTAGTTCATACAAAGAACAGAGAAAATCGTAAAAGTTTGGTAAAGAACTGTAAAGGTATGATTACACCACTTCAGTGTGAAGATGGAGAATCCCATGAAAATGTGTATTTAAAAAAAAAGCAATAATCCTCATAGAAAATGATCCATTAGACAGGAAAAACTAATCCTGTTTTTTATATATATACTTGTTTTTTCATGGGCAAAGACTTTGTTTTACTGGAACGCAATTTAAGATGTTTAGAACCTCATCTGTTGTTTGTATGAACTATACCTCTGTCTCAAACACATATTTGGTTTCTCTTATGTTAATTGCACATGTGACAATGTTGTATGGATACACTTTAACAAACGTGAGTTTTCCGAATATGTCCAAAGGGTGAGAGAAGTTAATGCCATTTTCGATGGCACTGCCACGCGTTTATTAACTTCCTACACAGACTGCAGCATTTTTCCTAGATTGCACACGAAAGTTTCAGGCTATTCATGTTAGTCACTTGTAATCTCTCTCTCTCTCTCATATATATAGGTTTCAGCAAGTGCTTCCAAGGATTGGGAGTTGGCACACTGCAAATAAATACATTCAGTATTTTAAAAAGCCCACAGTTAATTTTCATCTATGTAATCGCGAGAATTCAACGGAGCCCCGTCCTACCAACGTTAAGTTCCATTTCA